ATTGCCATATGCAGATATAGACTGCTCCAAAGTAGGGGACTTACTGTCTTACATCCTAGATCAGTGACTGCTAATGTCCATTGTGTGGCAAATTTAGGCCTTGAAACAAATGCCATAAAACCCATTGGAAACCCCAGAGTTGCATACATAATTACATTCCAGCCCTGATGGCTAGAGACCTTTGAATTACACTTTGGTCATCATAGTTTTTCTCTCACACTTCAGTTTTGACCAGAATTTTAGTAGCTGTTCTGACTTTTGGAGCTAGAAACACACTGCACAATCTGAAAGCAGGGGATTAAGCTTCTGAATGATTTAAAATCTTAATTTTTAAGAATTCACGAGAGTATTGGATGGTATCAAAATGCCAAAATTGAAGTGGGTACGTGGGGAGGGAAGAAGAGGCTAAGTGTTACCAAACTTAGTTTTCAATATCTGTGTGTTAGCTATGAACAGCTTCTTAATAGTTTTTAAAAGAATAATCTTGCCTTGGCTTTGCCTCTGTCAGGCTTAGAGCTGAGTCTTATCTGCTGATGTTGTGCGAAGTTCCCCTGCCATGTACAAGAGGAGCGACAATGGCCCAATTAAGTGGAGAAAATACAGAGATGGGGGAAGAGAATCTGAGGGCTGGTCTACGCTGGCAACATTCAAGTGCTGCCGTGGCAGTGCTTTAACGCGGCTTGTATAGTCGTGGCAGAGAGCTCTCCCAGTGCTCTAAAAAACCCACCTCCATGAGGGGCGCAGCTACCCGGGCTGAAATTTGCTGCGCTCAGGGGGGTGTTTTTTCACACCCCTGAGCTTCAAGAAAGTTGCAGTGCTGTAAAGTGCCAGTGTGGACAAGCCCTTGATATTTTCTTCACTTCATTGGATCACTGTAGCTCCTTTTGAAATTGGCACGGTAAATGTTCTCTGTTAGCAACAGCGTGGGACTCAGGCTAGTTGAGAGAGAACCCTGGCAAGTTTTGTGGAATGACTGAAGTTTTTCATGTTTAATACTCAGGAAAAATAGCAAATATTGGTGATGGTGGGAGCAGGGATAGCTAAACTTAGCTGATATCCATGCTACAGAGTCATACTGCACAACCTGCTGGGGATAGGGAACTTGGGGAAAGCAGAAATTTACCTAAACAAGAAAACTCTTCAATCCCTAGCATAACAACTGGATGCTAGGTATTGATGATTATACGAGATATAACTTGGTTAAAAGGGGTTTGAAGGGTTCCCCCTCCCAATAACTTCTACAAGTATGCAATTTCTGTGATTGTAAAGCTATTTAAAAATTTGGCCTAACCTTGCCAAAATAGATTAATAAATTCCAAGGCCAGAAGGGACCATTGTGATCATTTAGTCTGACCTCCTGTGTAACAAAGGCCATAGAACGTCCCCAAAATAATTCCTAGAGCAAATCCTCTAGGCAAAAAATAATCTAATCTGGATTTTAGAATGGTCAGTGATGGAAACTCCACCATGACCCTTAGTAAAGTGTTCCACTGGTTCATTACTTTTACCATTAAAAATTTACACCTTATTTCCAATCTGAATTTGTCTAGCTTCAACTTCCAGTCACTGGATCCTGTTATACCTTTCTCTGCTAGATTAAGTATGTGTTACCCATGTTGGTACTTAGACAAATCAAGTCACCTCCTTAACCTTGTTAAGATAAATATATTGAGCTCTGATTCTCTCAACATGCCTTAGTTTCTAATCTTTTAATCATTCTCATGGCTATTCTCTGACACCTCTCCAGTTTATAACATCCTTCTCAAATTGTGGGGACTGGAACTGGATGCAGTATTCCAGCAGCAGTCGCACCAGTGCCAAATGCAGAGGTGAAGACCTCTCTACAGGTACTTGAGATTCCCATGCTTATGCGTCTAAAGATTGCATTAGTCCTGTTGGTTAGTGAGCTTTGCCAACAAAACGAAAACCCTATGGTAAATTGTCAGGTGACACGGATACACTTAATACTCCCGAGGGAATTCTGTGCAGCAAAAAAAAAAAAAAAAATTCTGCACACATTTTAAAATTCTGCAAATTTTATTTGTCAACAAATGAGGCTTCAGCATGGCAGTGGGGAGCACAGGCCACTGGCTGCACAGAGGTGGGAGATCAACCTGCATTCCCTCTCCCCCAGGGCATGGACTTGGCAGTGAGGTTGCACCTGACCCAGAGACAACGCAGTGGCTGGACCTGCCTCAGAAACACCCCGGGGCCCTCCCCCTCCCTGTCAAGCACACTGGGTGTGGGCAGGCAGGCTCAGCCTGGCAGGATCCGGATGTGGGAGGGCTTAGTGGGGGGAGGGGGAGAATCCAGGTGTGGGGTGAGGAGGTTCTGTGTGGGACAATCTGGGTGTGGGCAGCTCAGTGGGGATCTGGATGCACAGGGGCTTGTTGGGAGGTGCAGGTGGTTAGAGCTCAGCGAGGGTGAGGGGTCTGGGTGTTGGGGGAGTGTGGCTTGGTGGGGGTCTGGGTGCAGCTGGTTGGGGCTCAGTGGGGTGGGACTCTGGGTACAGGGGGCTCATTAGGGTGGTCCAGGTGCATAGAAATGGGGCTTGTCAGGGTGGGGGTTTGAGTGTGGGGGGCTCAATGGGGAGTGGTCTGGGTGCAGAGGTGGGGGTCTGAATGCAGTGGGGTGGGGCTTGCTGGAGGATCTGGGTGGACAGACCCCCCATATAGTGACCCCTCCCCCTGCAGTTAAGGAGCAATGGGGCAAGAAGTGTGTGTGTGGGGGGGGGCCTAGCCCTGTGTAGCTCTCGGGAGAGCCAGGTGTGGGTGTATGTGCGGGTGGCTCAGTGGAGGAGTTCTGGGTACATGGGGTGAGATTCGGGTGGGGGTCTGGATGCATTGGGGGGAAGGGTCTGACCTGGCACTGGTGAGGGCATCTCCAGCTTCCCCATAGTGATTTACCTCTCAGCTGGCTGCTCTGGGAACCTGCAACCACTCGCCCACGCTGCTGTGGAGGGGCATGTGACCACTCTTGTGGCTTCCCTTTGCTTCTTGCTCAGCAAGACATTTTTCTGCAGGGAAGCAAAGAAATCTGCAAATTCTGCACATGCGCAGTGGAGCAGAAATCCCCTAGGAGTAAATTAAATAGACTTGTCCCTTGCACCTGGGTTGTTACAGTCCTGCATCTCCTATGTTAGCAAAATCAGCTATGGGAGGACAACTGAAATTTGACAATATTGAGCTGTCATTCTTGAATAAAAGCCAGATTCTGTCTGTTTCAAATGTGGATGTGTCAAGCCTAATAAACTATCAGCTATCTAAACAAATGGTTAACCGAGACTTTGTGCTGTGTACAACTTCTGCAGCATGGCTAGCTTCTTGCAGAGTCAGCTGGCAGAGGAAGCCAGAAAGATGTTTTAATGAAGTACTCCCTCTAAGGCCATTCTTGATGCTAATGTGTGTGTTGCTTTTTGTGGCGAGGGGGGGAGTTCAGAAGGTGTGTCACTAGTGCAATGGCCTTTATAATAAAGGAAAATTCCTCTTAGTGGTTTTTTTTTTAATTAATTTTTTAAATCGGGCACAGAAGACACTGTCCACTGTGTCTGAAACTGGGAAGGCTGCTGCATTAAGCTGCAGCAGTTCTCTGCAGACTTAGAACTCAGTCTGGGCTTGGTTTTTAATACTTGAGCTGTGTTTAATTACACCATTCCACTCTTCCTAGACCTTGGCCGAGTGTGACTATTTCAGAAGGCATCCTCAACATACCTGTGCTGGAATACTAAATGCTAAATCTGAGGTGCTATGAGCAAATATTGCAGACTTTTAAAAACAAGTGTTGGCCAGCAAAATCATTTGCCATGCAGTTGTGGGCTCTCCTTTGCTGTTGCGGGCTCTCCTTTGCTGTTGCTGGTGTTGACTCACTCCCAGGGTATCTGCCTTCCTCTCTAGGCCCGCCCTTGTCCTGTTTATGTTCCCTGTTATCAGTGCAGTGTTTTATCACTGTCAGGGCATAGGATCATCCTACTGGGCCACTGTTGCTGTGAATTGAAGGAGTGGCATGGCTAGGGTTTGAATGTGTCCCTTCCACTCTGTTGTGAGCCCTTAGGTTATACCCAAGCCTACCTATATCCCTGTTATACCCAAGTCTATATCACCGTCTCCAGGAATTGGATTTTGGACCTTCTGTCAGTCTCCTTCTGCAAATGTAACCATAGCTGAATCCCCAAACCATAGCTGGTGTGAAGTTGTGCTGTAGCCCTAAGGGGCCGGGTTCCTGTGTCTGGATGAGCTGGATTTAATCAGCAGGCGAAATGGTGGTGGCTCTAATATCTTTCTGCTCTACTCATTCTGGAGCTGGGCAAAGGCCAAAACTACCCTGGTGTGATGGACGGCTCTAAATTACACTGGCTAAAGCAGCACCCTAAAGCAAATGCTGCCAGCAGAGGATTGCTGAATGTGTTGGGCTGTGGCTTTGCTTGTATCCTACCAGACCCAAGAAGGTGACAAAGGTGACTATTGGGTTTTTTGCATCCCAGGGATTCCCCTGGTGTTAGGAATCCCTGACTTTCCCCTTGGGGAAGCTTGTGGTCCCCTGCCAAAAGACACAAAGGAGATCTAGTTGAGGGCCAGGATCTGACCCACAGGACTCTTGTTACAGAAACACAACTGATAAACTCCAGCTGACCTTACTCCAAGGATTACCTTGATGTGAAATTCAAGTTGTTGGCCCTTGTGAGGTGCTCAGATATGGCTCATTACCATAATAAGTAGCTAGATAACTATGGAATATTTTACTACTCTGGGAGATTAAGATTTGAATTAAATAATGGTAAAAAGAGCCTCTTCAAATGGTGGTGGTTTTGGTATCTCCACTTGCTTGGAAGCGTGGAGGATATTTGAGCAGTTAAATTAAGACAGCTGGCTTGGCTTTGCTGCCTTCTTTTTCCCACATCTCACCATGAAAAGTAAATGTTTCTGTGAATAAAGCTAATTTAAAAATTGCTCAGTATACGTGCAGGTGGTGTGCAGTTCTGACGACTCTTGTCTTGTCTTCAGTTGTACTTATCGGAGACTCCGGTGTGGGCAAGAGTAACCTCCTTTCTCGCTTCACGCGCAATGAGTTTAACTTAGAGAGCAAAAGCACGATTGGAGTGGAATTCGCAACCAGGAGCATTCAAGTCGACGGCAAGACGATAAAGGCTCAGATATGGGACACAGCAGGACAGGAACGGTACCGAGCTATAACATCAGCGTAAGTGATAAGCAGAGTGTGTATTTTTACGAGAACTAGTGTTTGGTTCCACTTTTCTCCTGAATCGGAGAGAACTCTGAATCCTTTGTGCCATAAAGAATGCTGGAAAACATCTCCCTGTAAAGTGGTGAAGCCTGAGAATGGTAAAGGCATGGTATTGTGTGTGTGCAAACTCACTGAACTCTAATGTCCTTGACATCTGTGTGGTATGATAGGTTTCAGGATTAAAAATGGTCTTCAGTGTTTTATATTTGATTAATTTGGCCCCCTTCAGAAGCACAGCGTATGGGACTGTTTGGGGCTTGTTAGACCTCAAACAATTTTAATATTGGTGGGAGGAAATGGGACATTTGGGATCTTATAAAGTACATCAGATGTCCCTAATATATGGATGGAATTCTGGAGTAACAGTCTTAAACCAAACCAAACCCCAGGTTCTTTAGTCAGTTCCTGACCAAGTCACCATACTTGTCTGCTTCTCTGTCCAGCTGCAAGTGGCAATATTACTTGCCCACTGTGCAGGGCTGGATTAACTCTCCTGTGGTGCTGGGGCTACTAGATTTTTGTGGGGCACCTGGGGGTTTGGAGTAGGGGAGTGGGCTCAGGCAGGGGATTAGGGCGTGGGGTGCAGGCTCTGGTCAGGTGGCGCTTACCTTGGTTGGTAAAGCAGGGCTAAGGCAGAATCTCTGCCTCCCCTGGCTCAATGCTCTTCTGCTCCCTGAGGTGGCTGGCGTGTCCAGCCCCTAGGCAGAGGGGCCAGGCTGCTCTGCAAGGTGCATGCTGCCCGTGCCTGCAGGCTGCCCCTGCAGCTCCTCTTGGCTGGGGTACCCAGCCAAGGGGAGCTGCAGAGCCAGTGCTGGGAGCAGGGGCAGTGTGCAGAGATTCCCTGAACGCCCCTCGCCTAGGGGCTGCAAGGGCACATCGATGAGCTGGCGCTTGCAACTCCAGGCCCAGGGGGCGCTGAGGCTCAGGGGACGGATTAAAAGAAGCAGTGGGCTGCATAGGGCCTGCGGGGCTCCCCCCCTTAGCTGCAGCCCCTAAAGCCCCTGCATTAATCCAGCCCTGCCACTCTGTAAAGAGCTTGGAGATGCAGCTAACTACAAACTATTTATAACCCCTTTTAAATTTTTTGCTCTGAGGTTTTATCATAAAAGCAGAAACCCTAATGCTTTAGTGGACACTACTAGTCCCCATGCAGCGGCCTTAGCTAATTGGAATAACTGTCTGGCTTAAAGCACAAGGTAAATGAGAACAAAATGAAACTGTCTGCTTATTTTAAGAATGGATTGTCAGACAGCACAGCAAGTCAGATTTGATTCACCTTCTGTTACGACACAGAGGAACACTGTTTGTTTGAATCATGTTGTTCGTTGCTGATTCAAGAATACATGTCTGCCCCCAGGTACTACCGTGGGGCTGTTGGGGCTTTGTTGGTTTATGACATTGCCAAGCACCTTACCTATGAAAACGTGGAGCGATGGTTGAAAGAATTGAGAGACCACGCTGACAGTAACATCGTCATTATGTTGGTGGGTAATAAGAGTGATTTGCGTCACCTTCGTGCAGTCCCTACGGATGAGGCCAGAGCTTTTGCAGGTTAGTGGATTAAATATAGTTTGTTGATGGTAACCCCTCTCTGGGGATTTGAGTTCTTTGCAGCCAAATACAGACAGGCTTTTAAAGAACAAAGGATTGAGTTGTTACTTGCCCTCTCAGCCCACTGTTAACACACCTCCCCGTAGACATCAGTGCTTTTCTTTCAGCAGGCGGCCTAATGGCACTAACATCGATGCTATTCCTTGGATCAGCCGGAGGCATTTGTGCAGTGACAATATCCATTTAAACCCAGATGCAGCATCTTATGTGTTCCTGAGCTCCAACACTCAGGGATGCTAAGACCCTAAGTCTCTTGTGTAGTAGCACTGCTGATCCCTCCAACCAGCCTTTATTTTGGCAGCAGCACGTGACCAGCTGGGGGAGGCTAGCTCCCAGCCCCACCCCTTCTGCCCAAGGCCCTGCCCCTTCCGCACCTTCCCCCTCGGAGTCTGGGGGGGGGGAGATCATTCCCCTCTGACATAGTCTTATTCCATTAAGTCAGTTTCAAAGGGGCAGCTTTGAGATGCTTCCAGGAGGGTTTCCCCCTTTCATGTAACACTTAACATCCAAACATGAGGTTGAGAGAATGGAAGAAGCAACATGGAAGTCAATCTTAAAACAACTAAAACCGACTCCTTGTCCCTCCTCTCGCTCTGAGTGATCACTCATTGCCTGAGGAGATTCACACCTTAGTACTCTGGTGATGTTGAAGTGAGGTGCCATTATGTCTGGGGGGGGTTTGTTAAAGTTTGGGTACCAAGCTCTCCTTTACATGACACTGGAACAACACCCTAATCTTACCCCTTCAGAAGCAGCACTGCCTTGTTCAAGAAGTCACCTCATAGTGTTGCTGTGGCAGGGCAGAGAAATGGGACTAGATGAGGAGTAATCCTGGAAGCTCCCCCACTGTGTGGACGTGCTATAAAGCAGTGTGTGTCAACCTTTCCAGACTACTCTACCCCTTTCAAGAGTCTGATTTGTCATATACCCCCAACTTTCACCTCACTTCAACTTACAAAATCAGACATAAAAAGACAAAAGTGTCATAATTCACAGTTACTGAAAAGTGCTGACTTTATTTTTTACCATATAATTATAATAGTCAATTGGAATATAAATATTGTACTTACATTTCAGTGTATAGTATAGAGCAATAGGAACAAATCATTGTCTCTGAAACGTTAGTTTGTACTGACTTCGCTCGCGCTTTTTATGTAGCGCGTTGTAAAGCTAGGCAAATACCTCCATGAGTTGATGTGCCCCTTGGAAGACCTCTGAGTACCCTTAGCGGTGCACACACCCCTGCTTGAGAGCCACTGCTATAAAGTCTCACTAGCACATATTGCGGTGATAAGCCTCTGGGGTAGACTGGTGCCTAAAACATGCAGCATGTGAGTGTGTTGTTACTGGTACTGGGCATTTATGGCAGGTGGCCATCCTAGCCTCCCCTCATGGTATGGGGAGGCCTTGCAGGCATGGTTCCCTCAACTAACTCTCTTCTGGAGTTCAGAAATAAACCACCCTCATCCAGAGTCTTTAAACAATAATCCCCCTACTTTTAGGGTCTAATTTATTTAGTTTAATTGGCCTACCCCTAAAGAGAGCTTCCCTTTAGGTGCAGGGATCCCCCAGCCTCCTCCTTGGCACAGGAGCCCAAAGCCCAACAAGGAGGGCTGTGCTTATTAATTCAGGACAGCTGTGGCCTCTAACCAGCTCCTCCCCAGCTGGCCCTTCTTACCTGAGTGCTTTTCTCCCTGGGTTTGGAGAGCTTCCTGGGCAGTAACCTTCTTCTGGTGGTGTCTCCCTGCTTTCAGAGAAGAGGCAGAATATATACAGCCCTCTTTCCCAGAGCTGGTCCTGGTTGGTTGGAAGAGCAGGGAGCCTTGCCCCTCCCTCTTTACAAGGCTCCGGGCCCTGGACCCTTAAAGGAACAGTAGCACACATTTCCCCAAACACAAAGTATTCTCCCTGTGACCACTTCCTCTCTCCCCATAGCTGCCTCTGCCTTTTTCTTAATCCCTTGAGTACCTCAGAACCCCCCAAACCTCTCAGCAGGGTCATGCTACAGAACAAGGCTTGACTGACCCCCTAGACGCTATTGTCCTTAAGGGGACAGACTACCCCTGTTACAGCACTGTTCTCCTTACACCCTTTAGAAGAGAGAACATTTGTTTTCATAACTACACTTCTATCGATACACAAGGTTTTCAACACGAACGCCAATAAATCTGGTCTTTGGCACAGGAGGGCTGCTTGATGGGAATCACTTGTGCGATGCCTGCATTGTAATTTACGATCTCTCTCTCTGCCCACACAGAAAAGAACGGCTTATCATTTATTGAGACATCTGCTTTAGACTCTACGAATGTGGAAGCTGCTTTCCAGACTATTCTGACAGGTGAGCCTCATAGTGCTTTGTGCGGTCTGTGTGTGCTGTTCAGGGGAGGAACTGCAGATTGCGTGCATCTTTGCCATTTGAACATGCAATTTTTCCTAGATTTAGAGACCGCAGGCCAGATTCTTTAGCCTGCTGATTACAGCACTAGCCTAGGACTTGGGAGACCGAGGTTTAATTTGCTGCTCTGTCACAGACATCCTGTGTGATCTTAGGCAAGTCACTTAACCCCTCTATGCCACAGCTCCCCATCTGTAAAAATTGGAGAGAGCAGCACTACCCTACCTCACCTGAGGGTTGTGAGGATAAAGATTGTGAGGCACTCGGATGTTATGGTGCTGGGGCCATGCAGGTACATTAGATGTTCTCCACTCTGCACAAGCAGTACATAGTGGCTGGAAACTGGCCACATCTGTGTGAGGGTAATTCCCAGCAGGCATGGCACAGCACCAGCATGGCCAGCTTGACTCCCACTTCCTGCAGCATGCTGAGTTCTGACAGCTCTCCCTAGTTGATTGCCCCTTGCGGGCTATAGTCAGCCAGTGCAGATTAGAACAGCCCAGAGGGCCTCTAAACTGCTATAACCGACACAAGACCAGGTCTGGAGTAGAACCAACCACAGCATCAGGGAGCTGCAGCCAGCCCCTCTGTGGTGCCCCTGTAACTATACTCAGCAATGAGTCTAGCCCATACACATTTGCATCTGTCCTGTGCCTGCCCGGCTGACCTGTCCTGGTAGGAGTGCTGTCCTGCTTCTAAAATATACCTGTCTCTCTCTTGTTCAGCACCCACCCACCCTCCATCCTTGTGGTAGGAGGCACTAGGCTATGTTCGAATGTGGCGTTATCTGGAAAATGCCCATGTATAGGCCAGAGAATTTAATACTTTGTGTCTTTAAAATGCGCTGAAGAGGACCATACTGCCAGCAGCTATATTAGAATGTGAAAATATTAGACGAGAGAACTTGCACACAATCATTCAATATTCATGAATTACCTTGGAGATCACTGTGAGGCAGGACAATTACTTATTGCAATTGATCTTGTCTGAGCTTACATCTGTTGTACATACAATGAAGCAGTCCTTGCTGATTACTAGGTAGTATGCATGTTTTTTCAAGAACAGACAGGTATTGGTTAACAAACAAGGGAAGTACCCAAAGTGTCAGGATTTTTTAAAGAATGCTACACATTTGAGACCGATTCTCTTCTTCATGAATTTCCTGTTTAATAGAACTTAATTATTACTGCAATTGAAATTACATTTTTAATGTTTCTTGGAGGCTCTTGAAATGCTTTTTTAAACCCCAGATCCCTCAGCATCCCTGTACATAAGTGTACCCATTTTACAGACAGGTGAACAGAGGCCCAAGGAGGTTAATTGACTTGCCCAGGTCCATGTAGAGCTGGGGGCAGAGCTGGGATTAGCATGCAGTCCTGATTCCCAGTTTCTCCTCTAACCACCATTTGTGGCTCTTTTTTAAAAAACAAAAAAACAACTTCCAATCAGTCATTGGTGGTTGCTATGAATACTAAAATTAAGGCTGAAAGAATAAATTCCATAAAACTGGAAAACACAAGGAACATTATCAACCTGTATATCTATTGATGCTATCTCTGGATGTGGGGCAGGGGAGTGGTTGACATGTAATAGGTAGACAGCATTAGACAGGTGCTAGCAAGCTTGTTGTATTCCTGTCTTCTCCATCCACTTCCATTTCAGGCAGTCCGTAAGGTTCAGTCTGAGACATGCCCATTTTGCACAAGTGTCTTGGTGGAGGGCAGTTAGAAAGACTGCTTCTCTCAAGTCCCAGCAACCAAATACCCTCACCATCTCCCAGAGTCATGTACGTTGATCACATGGTGAAATGTACATGAATGTCAGAATGTGCACAGTGTGTGTTTATGGATGCGTTCTACACTTCAAACTGAATAGCTTCTCTTCAGCTACACTGCCTGCCCCATCTTGACTGTTGGGAGAGGTAAGGACCCTTGGCACAGGTGTTAGTATTTAGCTTTAGTTCAGCTCTGGCAGTGCAAAGGAAACGGAAATCTGGAAATCCAGCAGATAGAATGTGCTGTATAGGTTGGTTTCTTCCAAAGCTGTCAAATTATGTATAACTCATCAGCAAATTGCCCCTAGTTTATTGCTGCACCATACTGTTCCATAATGGCATTTGCTGAGGCTGAAAGTTTGTTTGCACCAGGCTGCAGTCTGATCTACATACAGCTGGGCGACAGTCAGACTAATGCCATAGGGAAGCAATTTACCTCTTGGGGAATAGCTAGATGAATGAAGGCTGTTTTCAAAGCAGCCTGTACTACCTTGTCTTACATGCCCTTATCAGCATCTTTTATTCCAGAAGTTGTTTTCGATTATAATTAGTGGAAGTTCTATTTCCGTGCTTAATTTTCCTTTATGAGGTGCATTTTGTAATTGGAGAATAAGTGAATCAAATCCGGCCCTCACTGGCTTCGGGAAGGTTTGGTTGCTGCTCAACAAATGTAGATGTTCCCTGCGTGTTGGTGACAGTGTATTAGATAAAGAATTGTTGGGCATGCAGATGGTGTTCCTGTTCGGGGGAGTTGGATCATGTTTAAGGAAACGCTTCTCCTGATTAGAGAGCATGTGGCTTGTTCTAGTTGAGCTCCTGGGTCAGTGAGATAAAATGAAGTAAATATATTAGCAGCAGGTTGCCTCCAGCCACACTTCAACTGGCATGTGAAGGATGAATGTTCTCCCAGTAAACTTCTTGAAAACACTTGTCATAGCTGGCTCTTTCTACCCAAAACCTACTAATGATTATGGGGGGTTACTTCAAGTGTGTGCAATTCAAATTGGTTGGTGCTACCCAACCCCTGCTTGTTCTGCACAGTTTACTCTTGGTAAAGGGTTATGGTCCTGACACCTCTACGAATAGGGTGGTCTGAGGGTGAAGCACTTCTTATTCTTCTACAAAGCAAATCCGATCAGAGCCATAATAAACTGAAAACCCGACAGGCTAATAACCGATGTGACACACAGAAGGAGAGACTCTGAATGCTCCGTCACGTCCCCCAGTGTTAGCAGTGTTGGAACTGCGCTGCAAACTGGCTGCGACTGCTGTTTCCACATCTAGTCGCTTATGCAACCTTGCACAGAGCCGGTCTGACATGGTGTTTGAAAGCACTGGCAGCTAGCCTGCAGTAGGGCTCCCAACAGTGCTAACTGCACTCCAGCTGAGCTGGTGTGTGTTCTAGCTAGAGCCATTTCTCTGGAATGCGTAAGACCAGCGAGGCCAACTTCAGGGTTCTCCAGCACCCGATAAGAACAGTGCAATTCACTACACTTTTTTATTAAAAGCAGCTTTAAATGTTCGTGGGTATGGGAAGGATGATTCCCCTGCTGTTATGGCAGCTTACACATGTGCCCGTATTCCACCCCGATTGTAGGTGGAGGGGGGCAGAATGCCCTTCCTCAGTCTTGTTGCTCATGATGGGGTGTAGATGGAGTAGCAGCTCATACCTAGTGAGCGCCCAGCTTGGTGCAGGGTTCAGCTGCTCAGGAGGACAGGTTTTGGACTGTTACCAAATCAGGCAGTGTCTGTCCTTCTGCAGCCAAAGCAGATGATCCAAATGGCATTGTAAACAAGGCAACATTTAGACCTCGAGGGCCTGATTCCCATGGGCACTGCTGCACACTGCTCTGGCAATGCACGGGGGCCTTACAGTGAGTATTTGTTGTAACTACAGCCACTGTAAAATCTTCTGCATGGCCAGAGCAGTGTACAGGGGCCTGAGTGTAAGTGGGAATCTGGTCTCAAGTGTGTGCCATGCTGTCTCCTCCTTCCCCCTCACCAGCCTCTTTCTTGCTACTCTGCCCTTCCTTCTCACCTAGTGATATGTAATGCTACTTCTGTGGGGGGGTTCCTGCCAATGACAAACAATCTGGGGATTTTCCTGTTAAAGAGCTTGGTGCTTCTAAGAATGAGGGCAACGCAGCCGTGGCCTAAGCAGGCCCTGTGCAAGGTTTCTCCTAGAGCAATGTCACTTGCCCAGCCCTGTTGTGGTAAAAGGCCTCTTCTGAGCAGAGATTGCTGATTACAATGAGCACTTCATAGGGACTGGGATTTTGTTGCTGAATGGATTGTAAAGTATTAATCTCTCTCCTCCTACATATCTTCACTAGCGTGCAATCCTTAGGGACTTGCCAGTTGTATAGCATAGGCCTTCATATGGTGATGATCTTCGTGCAGTCCTCAGAGCCTCTGCTGCTGATGCCACAAGATAATACCGTGCGGAGGGCAGGCTGTAGCTATCACATGTCGGACCAGGGTAAATTTGAGCACCCAAAGGAGGAATCAACAGTGCATCAGTCTGTGAACTGCCATCCAATTCTTGGGTAGTGGTGGTGAGAGAGCTTGAAGCCTATAGGATACGGGGACATGAAAACAGAAGGCTCTCTTTTGTAAACTGCAAATCTTTGCTCGCAGCTGTGGAACAGGATGGGTGTGATGTCTAATGTTTCAGGGCTGTTGGTACTAATGCACTGGAGTGTGTGCTCAGGAATGCTTCTTCATGAAAGTACTGTTTTCAAGATTGGTGGCTGCAGAGGTTATCCACTGCTGAAGTGCTGCTGGTGAGTTATAACTATAAAGGCAACAGCATTCACTTGTTTTTAAATAGTAATAGGTCAGATTCTGCCCTTAGACATGCACAGGAAACTCTGACATCAGTAGGAGCAGTGCAATGGTAAAAGTTGGCCGGAAGATCTTGGTGCCTGAGGAGCTCTGATTCCACCCCACCCCACTCAGCAGTACTTCACGGTGAAATGCCCTGTTGCATGATGAGCTGCATGTGCTATCTAAAGAAGAATTTAAGTGTTCCATGGGCGGTGATATGGTGTGTGTGGGTTTTTGGCTTGTAGAGCAGACTTTGTACGATGCATAAACTCAGTGTGGGCCTTTAGAATTGCTATCTCCGCAATCCTGGGGACTTAAGTGCTGGAGACCCGTTGGAGAAACGTGTATTTCATTGAAGTTCACCCCATCTCCAACCTGAATTTGCTCCTATGCACAAGAGACCATTAATGCTATTTCAGGCTGCTTTGGAAAGACATGACTGAAAACTTTAGTAATTCTGAAACCAGAAACCCTCTTCCTTTCGGTGTGGCAACTGTTGGGTTTGCTTATATCAGCAATTCACTTGTGTAGCCAACTGTGTCAAACTGAGATGATCCTAACAGGTTCTTCCTCTTGTATTTAATGAGATGTGGGATGTCAGTTCTGAATACCTAACTTGCTGCTCTTCTCTGAACGAATGTGCCACTGGCAGATATTGGTATTTTCTTTGTATTATCAACAAGCCTTGTGCACTGGGCACGTGTGATTTTGTCCGTTTGTCCTGCTAGTCAGCATTCAGATGGCTGTATGCACTTGTGCTGTCTGTCCTGCAGGAGAACTTCAGGTCTGACTTGCCTCTTCGGTCCTTTGGTGACTGCATTTGCTGGGGTTTAACTTTGTTCACAGCTTGTTCAAAAAAGCCCTTTCCTTGCACCTTTATCCCAGCCCCACTTTCTGGAAGCTCTTTTTCCAGCACACTTCCTATTAGCTACAGAAGCGGACACAGAGCTCTGTGTATTCAGCCCTTAGCAGCAAATGTTAGACTTATCTGTGCACGTTTGCTCAATTTGCTTGTGTTGAAATGTCCGGCTGTTCACTTTTAAGTAGTTTGTTGCTCACATTCTTAACAAATGCTACTCTCTAGTGGAAGAAATATTTCTTGGTTTGGGGTTAAATAAGGTGCCAGTCAGGCAATTGTTATCGTACCAATAACTGACTGAGACCCTCCAAAAGAACTCGGATCACAGCTTTCTGTGCAGCGAGGGATATTTGCTGAGCTATGCTTTTTCCTCATTCTGCCCCAGAAGAAAGAGTAAAGTGCAAATGTCTCGTACTCCAGCTGTCTGAACTCATATGGAACTCTTACAGCAGCATGGTGTACTGTGTAGTGTGGGGCAGCAAATGGCTAAGTGGAGAAGTTCAATTATTCCCCCTCCTCACCCCCCACCCGAACAGTTCCCCTAGCTGTAGCAGAGTGTGAGACAGTACCAACTGGCATACTTCACTCTAGGGTAGCTTTGGACTAAGCTCAAAAAACTTTTCCGCTTACCTAAGAAAAGCTTGAAAGAGGTCTGTAGTTTTGAATGAGAATTTGCATGAGATTCTCTCATTTACTCCTCCATTTTGAGGCAAGTTTCCTTGCTAAAGCCAGCTGTCTGCCCATGGTTACACTCTGCTTTCTTTCTTTCTCTTTGAGCATTTGAGATGCACTCATGATAGCTGCAAAAATGCTTAATGCCCATGGTCTGCTTTGCACTCATTACAGGCCATATTGAGGTGAGGTGAGGCGTCACATCCAAGTGTGTGCTGCACCTTCGAGGCACTAGGAGTGGCACAAGAAGTTGAGCCGAGCTTTCCATTTCAAGCTGTATTTTTTCAGTCTGGAGTCCAAATTTTGCCATAGATTTAAAGTCAGATCTTTGCTGTTCAGACATGGAGTACTTTCTGTAACTCTCCCCAGGTTATGAGTGTCATGGATCTAAACAGAAACAAGGCCTGTCCCATAGTCTAGACACCTCTACAGAATTTTTTTAAAATCTAAGAATGCGTCTCCACCAGCAAATACATCAGACATAAGATAGGCCTGAGGGTCTTTTGGAGCAGAGGAGCAACTGCCCCTCTGAGCCCTCTCCAAAAGGTGGGAACATAGCTGCCAACCAGCTCCATTCATCCATGTTAGCATCTGCAGATGTATTCACAGCCTTACGCTCATCAGGAGCAAAAGCTGTCTACAGCTCTTAAAAACTAGCATGGGCGTTTTAGTCTCCCATACCCTAAATCTCTTGCTAGCAAGTTCTGGCTACAGAATAGCTCTCTTCAAGGGAAGGAACAATAAAAGCAAAGGTGTAGAGAACTAGAAATAGTCTTGTAAAAAGCAAATGATCTGCCTTGGTCACAAGATACCGGAAATGTGATGGTACAGATTAACTGATCGTGAAAATATCTGTATGATGTTACCCACACAGCTGTACTTCTCATTTTGTTATGAGGTATTGGCAAACTTTGCTGGTTTATATATAAAGTCCAGAAGATGCTAAACTTGAGTAACTTATTGGTGTTGCTGTGATTGAAAATATGTATATAGTAACTGGTTCCTGTTCTTGTTTTCCAGAGATCTATCGTATTGTTTCTCAAAAGCAAATGTCAGACAGACGTGAAAATGATATGTCTCCAAGCAACAATGTGGTTCCCATCCATGTCCCACCAACCACTGAAAACAAACCAAAGATGCAGTGCTGTCAGAATATATAATTGTTTCTTCTTTCCTAAAAGGCTGTGTATATTCCCCAGGTCCAAGATTTAAATATATTTGTAATTCTTGTGGTTAAGTCTTTGTGTTCAATTACTTCCTCTTATTATTCCTTCTGATCTTTTTCATGTCTTAACACTTTGATTTTAGTGTTAAAATCATTATTGCTTCCATATGGCTGCAGCATATTCATAACTCTGACTCACCAGTCTTGGTTTAATAAATTGTTTGAAATTCTAATAGATTACTTTCCAACTTGATGACCACTAGTTGGGTTACTAGAATGTCATTTTGTAATCAAGCTCAGAAATGTTAATTCTAACCTTCCCAAAACATTACTGTCAATGTTAATGAACATCTCTGGGCTATTTAAACTAGATCATCTTTCCTAACTCCAGCTGTTATATCTAGCATCCAAAAATTGCTTATGAATCACCCATTGCTCTTAAATGCGATTTTACAGTAAAGCTAAATGTTTTGGTTACATCTTGAGGTGGTCAAGGTATGTGGATTTTTATTACTAAATATTAGGGCAAAAACTATTCTTGTTTTGCATCTAAGCTGGAGACTTCACTATGTGCAATGGTGCTCTTGAGTTCTAATTGTGCAAATGAGGTCATCATGGTAGGAGGCTGAAATGGGAGATACTAGTGGGAGCTCATTCAAGGTGCCTCTTGTGAAATAAGACAAAGCAACATGAGCTAAGTAACGGATTCACTTTTCTCTCTTAATATTGGGACTTGCATCACTTTGTGTTGCCCAGGAACTGGACTCGATGGTGCTGGCAGTATCAGAGGATGAGAAAGTTCTTCCTTTCCACAATGAGTAGAAACTTGAGGGATATTGTATCATGTATCCATAGTTTATTTATATTTGCAAATGCTTAATGCTGGGGTCACCAACTTCCATGATGTCTAAAGAATTTATAAAGGACCCCTGCAACAGTGGCTCCACTCCATTGGAAGCATTGGTTAGTATAATCTGGAATAGTTTCCTTATTGAAAGTGTGTGTGGCTAATAGACTGATTTCAGTACAAGTCAGTCAGCAGTTGACATAGACTGTTGAGGGATGATAAGGTTGTGAATTGTGCCTTCTGTCACTACACTTTCAAAAGTACTGCAGAATACTCTCTCATCTCCAAACTGTCCACTAAATGGCTTGAGTGATTGGCACTTAAACTCCTACAGTATTTAAAAAGCTATGAAAAACTGTTGGAGCAGGGTGGGTGGGAGGAAAGACATTCCTCAGACACTGATACAATCAACCTAGAACATCGGTGTGTGGGCATGCACAAATTGCTGCATTGATTAGCCAACCTTTCGGTCTTGCGGTGCTCATGATGTGTAAGGCACACGGAAGGCATTGCTGTAGTCAGTCTTTTTTTTTTTAATCCATTTCTCCTATTTGTGTTTCTGTTCTGAAGATGCTATTGGATCTGTTTGTAAATTACTTTGTATTTTATGCACGTTCTGTAACTTTTTTTTTTTAAAGATTGGTTTAAAATAGTCATTCATGATAATAAAGAATTACAGGGGACAATTCCATATAGCGTCATGGGCACTTTTTTGGGAACTGGAGTTCGTCTTGGCAAAACGAGGGGTCTTTCAGGGTACATGTTATGTATGCAACTACAGATGTGCATGGTCATGGAAGAATTTCCAAAGGTACAACTGAAGTACACCTAAAGCAACTGAAAACGGAAGGGACAATGCTGCTTAATTAGTCTCTCACCTGCACATGTTGAAGTGTTTTGAATCCAGGCCTGCAGTTGTCTGTTTTAGTGACACACACATTCACCATATACATTTTTTTGTGCCCTCAACTGCACTCTGTGCCTTGTCCAATGGTTCCATCATTTTCACTTGTAAACAGCTTCTGCAAGCTTTCTTTCAAATAATGGTCATGTAGCCAAGAAAACTAGCAGGAGTATTGGAGATCAAATGCAACGCCCTGCCAGCTCTTTCTTCAATTCTTTCAGTTCCTTCCAACCAAAGTTAATCTTGGTGCACTAGAAGTGGGTAAGGTGTTACCTTCGCCAGTGTTAGGGACAGTGAGCACTGTTCTAAGCAGCCTCATGCCTGGTCAGTACAGAGGGGAGACTTGCAAGGAAAACAGTGTGGAAGGCAGTACTCCTGGTGATCCAACAGGTGGCATTCATCCTTCTGAGTCACCACTGAGCTAGTGCCTGGTAGGGTTTCTGATGAGAAATTACAGGGAAGCCCCTGCCAATGGTTGTGACCACTAGAGTAGGCTCCTAGTATTTTGTACAAGACTTGGTAAAGGACATAGACAATGACCTTCTCACATGGCTGTAGCACGAACCACAAACACTGGAAGCCTTTTCACTTTCCCCCTCAAACTTTTGTTGTGTTATGACTGTCCAGCTCAATAATTCACCTCCCAGGAAACAGATGGCCATGCTAAGGCTTAACATACCTTATGTAAAACATATCATTTCCTTGCTGATGCCAGGGAAAAAGTGAAACCCACTGAAGTCTCCCTACTTGGCCCCTTTTTAGCATGGAGGGTGACTCCAAAATTGCCTCCTGCGCTGTGCTGCATTATTGGTGCAAAAAAGGGTAGGATAACCGTAACAATCCAGGCACGGAATCTCACACAAGAATCCCTTGCAGGAAAAAAACAACCACCTAGGTTCTGTACATCTCATGGATTGCTGCAAGATGGAATGATAAATTCCATGAAATACTCAAGAAAAATACTAAATTATACATATTTCAAATATAACAAAGGCAACTGTGCTTGTTTGTATACTAGAGGCAAGTTCTTACCCATTGCAAGCTTTTGCAGGGTAGTGCCCATCTCTGCAATATGTTTTGTCCAAATATGTAGCACCATGTTAAGCTCTGATTGCACCCACCTGTAAGCAGGGTTGGTCTTGTTCATTATGCAGCTGGGTAAACCCCCAAGGAATAAAGAAGTCCCTTTAAGCGTTCATGAGCGGTCATGGTTCCTTCTGAGCTGGTGCTGAACAAATGACCCAGCAGGGTCCTTACTGCTCTTCCATTACAGATTAAGCTCTCAGCAGTGTACGTGACACTGAATCTTCTCACACAGGTGACCTTTCATTATAATATATAGCGCTGGGGCACCTGCATAAGCTTGGGGGGGGGGGGGGGGGGGGCTCTAAAGTTTTCATTAAATTATAAAATAGGGTTGATCTAGCAGAAGCCTTTACTTACACACTTTTTTTGAAAGCCCAAATCTTAGCAATTATAAACCCATATTGCAAGCATCAGTAGTTTCCATCTTGTATTTGTGGTAAAGGGTGCAGAATTATTGTCTATAGCATCTTATTACAATTACTTACATCTAGCTGTTTAAACCTGATGAATTTCCAGCGTTGAATAGCGTAGGGAGTGGGGTTTGGCAAATAAGAGGCGTATGTGTGGCTTTGGTTAACAAGATTTTTTTTTTGGACATTTGAATTGCAAGTATTGAAAGTCTCAGTTTAGCAGTTCACTATACTGCCATGGAGAGAGCTTAATTCTGTAGCTGCTTCTGCTGCACAATTTAGCTTGTAATTTACTGATTAGCATTAATACATATGATAGACTAGGCCCTGCCACTGCAGTGTACACCACATGGATGGACTACAGTGAACCAGCTGAAGTCTATGGAGCTCCCTGTGGGTACAGCTGTGTACAATAATTAAGGCTACATTTGTGTCACGGAATCCGGGATTTCCAGGGACCATGACATTTTCTGCTTCCGCCCCTGGGGCCATGGGTCTGGAGCTGGCAGCCAGCAACGGGTGACAGCCTCCTCAGGGGCCCCTCAGGCTTCCAGCAACAGAGGACAGCCTGGCATGTGCAGGGGAGAGAGGAGGAGCCCCACAGGTCCCAGTCCCAGCCACCATGGTAGCAGGCGAAACCATGGAGCTGCAGCAGCAAAAGTCACAGACAGGTCACGGCTTCCATGAGTTTTTGTTTACTGCCTGTGACCTGTCCATGACAAAATCTTAGCCTTAACAGTCATGTCTGTTGCAGGATCGCAGCCTCAGCTTACTGCAGGAAAAGCGTAAAGGGACCTGACAGTTGCACCATGTTTGAAATAGCTCTTACAGCTCTATGTGAGCTGGGTCAGCCTTTGACAGCACCATTATGATGCTCCAGTCTGCTCACGCATGTTCAACTTATGGGCAAGTAAGAGTTGCCAGAGCAATTGATGAAAAGGTACTTACCTGGTACTTAGTTTGCTTTCAAGCTAGGGTGTGACTAGCCCCTGGCTTAGGAATTATTCTCTGATTTACTTCATTTTGGATTTGAGATTCACTCATTCTCAGAACTGTTGAAATCAACTTTTCTACCTTACTTGCCTGACATTGGCTTGAATGTTCTCGGAGTTGTTTGGGTAGGCAAATGTAGGCCCTTCGGTAACCAGTCCTGTGGTACAGAGAAAGTTCATGCCTCCAACATGTTCAGGCTGGAAATGAGTACGTTTGAGAAGGGCACATTGAGAGAAACTCCATTTATTTTGTACAAGGTATAGTACCTTAGCACAGTGAACAAATTATTACAAATCTGTCTTGCTTTAAAAAAGTATTGCCATTTCAATGTCTATTTTCTAAAGTAATGCTAATGTACAAGAATGTATTTTTCCCCCTTCTGTTAAACTCTGTGCACCTCCTTTCATTTGGTTTGGAAATCCAGCTTTGAAAAAGTCAAGCATATCGCTGCTCTCCGAAGTCCCATCTCATACTGTACAGAAACACAACACATACATTGTTTAGGCTTGCCACTTACACTGCTTGTGCTAGATGTATGGTAAGTCTCTAACAAGAGCCTAACTGCCTTTTTATTGAGATTTCTGAGGTAAGTCTTTCTATATGCTAAGTAAAATATATCCCTACCTGGCCCTACAAAATAATGTCTAATTACATCTTGAATAAGGCTTTTCTGCAAAATTACTATTGCTGATCACTCATCCGCCCCCATGCAGCCATGCAGCATTCATGTAAATATCTATGTATTCCTTGCAACATGAAGATCAGCTTCTTTTTAACCCTGTGGGGAAAGAGCTCTCTGGAGTTAGTTTAGCCGTCTGAACTGCAGAAGTTGCCAGCTGCATAACGGGTTTCAGAAAGTGTGCCCACCGATGCCCACGAAAGATTCCAGCTTTCCAAAGATTCCTGGCTGTGTTGCCAGGGCTTCTCCCCACCCCTTGACAAGAGTATTTAGTGCGTTACCGGATTGACAGTAGTGAAGCCCAAAGAAATACAGCACAGGCTCGGTCAGCATCAATGCAGGCTTCTTTGCACTGCCCTGGCACTAGGCCTCGATCCCAGCGCTGAGCAGGTCGTTCAGTCTCCTCAGCACGTTCAGCTCCTGGCGAGTACCATCAAGGGTTCAGACTGCAATGGGCTTCTCCATATGACACTAAACTCCTGTCTACCAGGAACTACGCTGGCCCCCGGACCAGTTCATTTCACGTAGGTTTGTCATCCACTCACAATGACTCCCAGCTGGAGCCGGATTCAAACCGGTGATCTAGAGGTGAAAGGCTCTGAATTTTACTACCAGGCCCTTAGGCCGCTATTTCCTGCATTAGTATTTTTTACTAATCAATTCATGCTTTAACAAACTGATCACAGTTGCTTTTCTTTCTCTTATAGTTCCATCAGAACAGCAAAAATGCAACAGACTTTTTTATATTTAAGATGCAATCAATTTGCTACTCCCGCGTTTGCCTAATGAAATTACATACTTAGCATCATACTACTTCATGCTCAAGAGCTACAAGAAACTGCTTAATAGCAAGTATTCTATTTTCTATGTCAAGAAGGACTACAAAAAATAATCCAGGAGGCTTATTCCAAAGCAAACCTTATTCCAAGGCAAACCTCATGGTAATTATTCCACAAACAGCTGTTTAAGAAGGAAATCTGGTCACAGCTCAGTTTAATGACATTTCAGGTAGACTCAGCGATGGATGAAGTTGTACGACATGGTAATGCCGATGAAATTAAAGGGTTTATTATAAATGGCATGCAATTAATTTAGCTATAATGCAATGGCTTGTAAAGATGGTCTAGAAACCCCATGATGGCTTAGAAAGCATTGGTTTGGGTGCAGAACAGAAACAGGGCTAGATTTTTGACACATTGGCAGTGGAACGGCTTCTCAGCTGCTGTGAATCTGCATAGCGCCATCAAAGTCACTGAAGCTATGTGCCAATTTAGAGCAGTTGACAGTCTGGGCCACTGTATCGAATAAAGTAGCAGCTGTATAAGGCCAAATAAAATACCACCAACAATCAAAGGCTTCCATAGTTGTTAAAAATGTATCCCTAAGCATCTGACTGCCAGATGCTGGGCCTGGACAACAGGGGATGGATCACTCGATGATTGCCCTGTTCTGTTCATTCCCTCTGGGGCACCTGGCACTGGCCACTGTCGGAAGACAGGATACTGGGCTAGATGGACCACTGGTCTGGCCCGGCCCAGCATGGCTGTTGTTATATATGTTGGGCATGAGACACACTGTTCAGATGAGCTCTATGGTTAAAGATCACTGGAGACTTATGA